ATAGTATCCTATTGTTTAAATATATAATTCTTTTAAACCAATATCCTACTAAACATTTGAATTATTTCCAATTTTTACCCTATTATAAATAAAGCTGTAGTGAATATCTTTGTGAATATGTCTCTTTGTTAGGATGGAATATTTCTTTAGCATACATTTTCTAGAAGCTGTATTATAATATCAAGGGATGTATATATATTTTTTATTTTAATAGGTATTACAAATTTCTGCTCAATTAGTTATACAAATTTATGTACCTTCTAACTTAGTGTGAGAATACCTGTTTCTTTAATATTGGGTATTTTCATCTGTTTAATCTTTGCCACTCTAGTAGATAGAAAATGAAATCTTGTTTCAACTTATATCTCTTTAATTAGGAGTGGGATTGAGCATCTTTATGCTCATTGACCATTTGGCTGTCTTCTTCTATGAAATGAAATGTAGTGTGTTAATTAAGAATGCAGTCTGTAGCCAGTTCAAATCTTGGCTTCACCATTTGCTATCTGGTTACTTCTTTGTGTCTCAGTTTCCTCATCTATAAAAAGGAGATAATAATAATAACAACCTTACCTGATAGGAGTTGTTCTGAGGATTAAGTGGGACATTCCTTGTAAAGTGCTTAGCACAGTGTCTGGCAAATAGCACATAATTCTAAGCTACTATTATAAGCTCTTTGTATAGTAAGGAAACTAGTCCTTTGACAAATCTGTAGAACTATTTTTCCCAATTAATTTTTTTTTCACTTTAATATGACTTTTTCTTTGATAGTTGTCAGAAGTTTTATATTTTTATGTGATCAAATTTTCATTTTCTGGTTAATTTCATAGTTTCTTTTGGTTCACATTTACATTTTTTCCTTCTGGAACTTATTGTAATGTATAGAGAATGATAGGAATCCAGCTTAATTTTTTCCCCAGATGTATTTATCACAGATACTTTATGGAATCTGTGGTGTGGGGTTGGGACAGTTCCCTAGTTTTGGGGATTTTATTCTCCTCTAGTTCTTAGTGTTCATTGCAGTGTGCTTATTCTGCTGTCATTCCAGGAGTCTCATGGGTCTTTTAAAGACTCTCAACAGGATATAATTCAGAGAGAGTAAAAGCAGTTTCTTCACAAGTTCTGTTACTAATATGATTTTTTTTCCTTGGTAGGTATCCCTTGTATAACTGACTGTGTAATGGCTGAAATTGAGAAATTGGGGCAGAAGTATCGAGTGGCTCTAAGGTAGGGAGTAGCTGGTCTAGATTTGTTCTGGATTTGCATACTGTAGATTCTTTTGACCCTTCTTCATCTATTTGCTGTCCAAAAATTTCTTGTCCGATTAGTTTAAATAAAAAACATACAAAACTAGTTAACCATTTGGGATTAAGCAAGCAAATGTTTGAAGGTTAGAGATTTTTAAGCTGAAGCTTTTTGAACTAGGTTACTTAGTAATATTGGTCTTGTGGGCCTCCTTTTTAAGTTCCTCTAGGTTTTCAATTAGGAAATGTTTTACTATCAGTTTGTAATCTAGATGTCCCCTTCAGAGTCTCACACTTAAAGGATTCTAAGTTTTGAATTTACTCTAGAAAGTACTCTTTTTTTTTTTTTTTTTTTTTCGTTTTTGGAGGAAGATTAGCCCTCAGCTAACTACTGCCAGTCCTCCTCTTTTTGCTGAGGAAGCCTGGCTCTGAGCTAACATCCGTGCCCATCTTCCTCTAGTTTATACGTGGGACGCCTACCACAGCATGGCTGCCAAGCAGTGCCATGTCCGCACCCGGGATCCGAACCAGCGAACCCCGGGCCGCCGAGAAGCGGAATGTGCGAACTTAACCGCTGCACCACCAGGCCGGCCCCTAGAAAGTACTCTTGAGTTTAAAGTAGCAGTTCCCAAAGTGTGGTCTGTGGACACCTAGGAGTCCCACAGACCTTTGCAGGGAGTTTGCAAAACCGTTTTCATAATAATACCAAGGCATTGCTTTTGTCACTGTGCTGACGTTTGAACTGATGGCAGAAATGCTGGTGCCTTATTACAAATCAAGGCAGTGGGCCCAAATAATGCTAGTAGTCTTTGTATTCTTCACTGCTACCCAGTGGCAGTTAAAAAAAAAAATACCAGAGTCTCAAGCATATCCTTGATGAAGTAGTAAACTATGTTAAGTCTCAACCCTGGAGTACACATCAGTATTCCTTGTGATGAAGTTTGAAGTAGACATACAGCGCTTTTGCTCCATACCAAAGGACGAAGATTGTCTTGGTGAGAAGCATTTGTGTGCTTGTTTGAGTTGTGAATTGAACCAGCTGCTTTTTCATGGAATATCATTTTTATGTGAAGAACAACAGACAAACACTGATTTTTCAGACTTTGGTATTTAGCAGATATTGTCTCAAAAATTTATGCAGTCTACTTGTCACTTCAAGGAAAACAACTTACTGTATTAGCTACCAATGATAAAATTCGAGCTTTCAAGTGAAAATTACAGTTTTGGAAAATCACGAGTTATCACATTCCCAATACTATGGATCTTTCTGTTGAGACCGTGAAGATATTAATGAGTATGATTTTTTTTATATTATATAATGAAATGTGTCAATATTTGGAAGATGTTTGTAACTCAGTGAATCAGTATTTTCCAGATGATCAATGCATGGTATCACGGAATCATGCATGGGTAAAAGACCCATTCAAAGTAAAGGATATACCAGTGGGTTTTTGTGTGTACGTGTTACCTATAAGGAGATGTAACTTATGTGCTATAAAATGCACCAAGTTTAATTGTACAGTATAATGGGTTTGGCAAATGTATACGGTCATGGGACCACCATCGTTGTCATGAAATAGAACATTTCCATCACTCCAGAAATGTGATTCCATTTATATGAAATCCTAGTTCATATAATAAACTATAGTAATAGAATATAGATCAATGGTTGCCTGGAGCTGAGGATGGAAAAAGAAGATTAACTGCAGAGGGACACAGGGAACTTTTGTAGTAATGGAAATGTTCTCTTTCTGAATTGTAGAGGTTGTGACATGGATATATAAATTTGTCAAAACTCATCGAATTTTACATTTATAGTCAGTGAATTTCATTATATTTTATAAATACTTAATAAAGCTATTTTAGTAAAGGCAAAAGGAAAAGTGGGAATCTAATGTATGAAAGTGGTAACATTATTTAGGTCAATGGGAAAGTGATAAACTATTAAAATATTGATTATCCCTATGGAAAGAAATAAAATGGGCTCCTTATCTCACTTCCTTCAAAATCAATTCCAGGTAGATTAAGTAACTAAACTTTTATAGAAAATATAGAGAATATCTTAGTGATTTTGGAGTAGGCAGGGATTTCTTAAGAAGTCCAAACCATAATGAAAAACTAATCGATTTGACTCTATTGAAATTGAATACTTCTGTATAACAAAAGACACCATAAACAAATGAGAAGACAAGCCACAGATAGTGAGATCTTAGTAACACATATAATCACCAAAGGGCTTATTTTCAAAATATATAAAAAACTACAAATTTGTACGAAAAAGACAAATTCCTTAAATTTCACAATAAGATATCATTTCATGCCCAGCAGATTGGCAAGAATTAAAGCCTGCTTGACAGTGCCAAGAACAGTTGAGATTATGGAGCAATGGAAATTCTCATATTCACTTGTTAAGCGTGTAAATTGGACAGTCACTTTGGACAGCAGTTTGGCAATATCTGATACAAACGAGGCTGTTCATACTCTTACAACCCTATGTCTTTCAACCTGAGGATCACAAATCTATAGGTTGTAAAATCAGTTTAGTAGGTCACAACCAGTATATCTTTTTAATGAAATAGAATAAACTATAAAATATTGACATATATTGTATGTAGGAAAGGTTGAGTATTGTATCACAGAACTTTTTTCACTTTTACATGTGTGTATATATGTGCTTACTGTGTCCTAGATAAAATGCATTTCATACTGTGCTTCTGGTAAAAAAACAAAGGGCCTGCCACAGAGAAGCTCACATACATATATTGGAGACAAGTATTGGAATTTTCTTTTGTGTATGGTAGCAAAAAATTGCAGGCGGCCAAAAGATCCATTAAGAAGAGAATGGATACATTATGGAATGTTCATGAATAAAATACAGGAATGAAAATGACTGAAGTAGAGTTATATGTGTCAATGTGGCTAGATCTCCAAAACAATGTAAAACAAATGAAGCAAGAGCATATGTGAAGCATACCATTTATGTAAAGTTTAAAAACATGCAAACTATTAGTTCATTGTTTACAGGTATATACGTGTATAATCTTACATATGTAGTAAAATGTGTGGGACTGATAAATACCAAATTTAGGATATAGTTACTTGTGGGGAGGTAAAAAGAAGTTGGGATTGGAGAAGGGGCTTCATTTTTATTTGTAATGTTTCATTTCTTTAACTAGATGGTGGATACAAGGTTTTCATCATTCCTTATGCTTTTTTGTATACTTGAAATACTTCAGATAAAAAGGGGGAAAGAAGCAATTATTTTAATAATAATAATAAAGAATAGGAGGGGAGAAAATAAAGGTACCGAGTGTACCTCTAACTTCAAGTTTGGTTGTGAAGAGAAGCAGAGAAATGGGTTGTTGAGGAGGGTAGTATAAGTAAAAAGAAGGATTTTTTTTATTTTTTAAGATGGGGAGATCCTAGCGCATGTTGGTATGTTTCTGAGAAAGAGCCAGCAGGAAGGAGGAGACCAATGATTTTAGGATTGAAGGGGTAACCAGAAGAGCAAGGGCCTAGGCTATTGCCTGCCTAGTTTCCAAGCAGCCAGTCTGCCTTCCTCCTAGTGTGTGCTCCTCACCACAGCCTGCCTGGTCTTTCTGGGACAAAGCTTTGCTCATGTCGCTCTGTCACTGAGAAATCTTTAACCACTCCCCATCACCAATGTCATGGAGCTCACACTTCTCAGCTTGGCGTTGGAGACTCTTCCCAGTCCACCCTCAACCTGCTTTCCAGCCCTGTTTCATCTCCTCTGCGTGAACAGCCTTCTCCCCACCAGAAAGATGTGCACACTCTTCCCTGAACACCACCAAACCATTTTACTGATGGGTGGTACCCTTTTTGGAATATGCCTGCCTCCACTTACTTGGAACATTCTTTCATCTTCATTTTATTTCTTCTCTGTGTAATTTTTTCTAAATAGACCCAACCCACATTGACCTAGCTCTCAGCTACTGTGATAGATGGAGTATTTTTGTTGCACTTGGTACCTATGTGCTGCCTTGTGTTTCTGTTCATTTGTGGGTCCTGATCATTGTGTAATAGAAACAGCATTGGCTCTGGGAATCACAGACTTCAGGGTTTTCTTTTACAAATTTGTATGAAAATAATACATGTTTGATTTGTTTATGGCAAACAATATAAATGTATACATTCAATAAAAAGTAAAAGTCCTCCTCCATATTCACGCTTTGTCCATTCTCCTACTCGGAGAGTGACACCTGAGAAGGGTTAATATATATTTTTCCACACCTTCTTCTGAATAAGTGCAAATCTAGAGAAAGAGAATCGAAGAAAGAGATTTGTATTTTCTTGAGTCATATATGTATATATAGTTCAATAGCTTACTTTGTTTATTCAACAGTTTAATATAGGTCCTTCCACAGTGGTACATACCTCTTTTTTTTTTTAATGGGATAGAGGCACCAAAATATATTTAGCTTTTACCTTGCTGATGGGTATTCAGATTATCTCCAGTTTTTCACTATTATAAACTATGCTGTAGTGACCATCCTTGTCTCTATATTTTTGTACTTTTGTCTAAGACAACTTCCTAAAAGTGAAATGGTTGGGTTAAAATTGGTTTGATTTTGAATCCTGGCTTTTTCCAGCTGTGTAGCTTTGAACAAATTAATCTTTCTGAATCTGTCTCCTCATCTATAAAATGAAAATATAATAATTCAGAGTTTTGTGAAGATTAAAGGACCTAAGACACACAAGCTGTCAGTCAGTTTTAATTCCCTTCTGTATAAGTTGTCTTTCCAATTAGAAGGTAAGCTTCAGGAGGACAGAGGGGCCTTAAAATCTCCACGTAGGTCATGTTACTCTTATTTCGCTGACTGAGACTCAGAAAGTTATCTAGTGGCCTGAATGTTATCATTAATTCACTTTTCTAACCCTGTAGGATTGCCAAGGATCCAAGATTTGAACGATTACCATGCACACACAAAGGAACCTATGCAGATGACTGCTTGGTACAGAGAGTAACTCAGGTATCATCAGTTTTTAAAGATTTACTTAGTACTTTAAAAAAAAAAGGTAAACTATTACCTCCGGAATATTCATGGTCTATAAAGTATCTTGGGATGTAAATAGTAAAAAAAAAAAAAAAACTTCATAGAAAGCATAGGTATCCTCATTTACTTAAGAAACTGAACTGTAGGGGCTGGCCCTATGGCCGAGTGGTTAAGTTTGCGCACTCCGCTGCAGGCGGCCCAGTGTTTCATTGGTTCGAATCCTGGGCGCGGACATGGCACTGCTCATCAATCCACACTGAGGCAGTGTCCCACATGCCACAACCAGAAGGACCCACAACGAAGAATATACAACTATGTACCGGGGGGCTTTGGGGAGAAAAAGGAAAAAATAAAATCTTAAAAAAAAAAACTGAACTGTAAATGTTTGCTGTGGTCATAGAGGAAAGGTCAAAGGCTTGAGCAGGAGACATGGGTTTTAGATCTCAGCACCTGCATTTATTGGGTGTATGATTTGGGGCACTTACTGATTCTTTATTCTACAAATCTTCTCTATAAAATGGTGTAAGTGAGTGAGTGTAGATATAATAATAGATCAGATTCCACCTCCCTGTGAATGTAAAATAAGGTTCCATTTCCATTTCCTCCCCATGCAGGAATATTGTTCCTCTCCACAATGCCTAGCCCAGAAGTATTTCTCAGTTACATCCGAGTCTCCCAGGGTGCTATCTCACAAGTACCCCGGAAGAAGTAGGAGATCCCATCCTGGCCTCCTGGCCAAAGAGGTAGCCTGCCTCCCCCGCTAGGAGGCCTCAGAGTAGGCCCGAGCCTGGAGATCCTGGGAAAGGCGAAAGCTGTGCCCTCCCATTTAAGGCACTTACTCTGCATAGACTCCCTCAGGGTGTTTTCCCAAAACCGAGGAATTGTCCTCCTCAGATGTGAAACTCCCTTCCACTTAATGAGACAAAAAAAAATTTGTGGCTTTTAAATAGTTTTTTTCTATCTTCTCTCCCTCAAGATTCTTGGAGCTACATTCAGTCCAGGCAGCTTGTTGTATGTTTTATAAATATGAGGTCCTAGATCATAATAGTTACTCAACGAATTGTTCTAGCCTTTCCTTTTCTCTTTACCATGAGAATGAATAATTCTTCAGACTAGCCTGTGATTGTACCATTATCCACTGTCACTAAGTAGACTGAGTGAGCTCCCTGTGAACACTCAGTTGATGTCTCTTACAGCACAAGTGTTACATTGTGGCCACGGTTGACCGGGACCTTAAACGAAGAATCCGGAAGATCCCTGGAGTTCCCATCATGTATATTTCTAACCACAGGTGAGAACTTTCTCTTGGAGAAGTGATACATAGTTGATATCAGTTGATATCAGTTAAAAATGAGGTCAGGTGAGAACTTTCTCTTGGAGAAGTGATACATAGTTGATATCAGTTGATATCAGTTAAAAATGAGGTCAGGTTATAGAAGGATTTGAAAGAAACTGTTATATCAAGTGTTTACATAGTTCTATTTGAAGAGATGAGACAAAGTAACAAGAACAAGGGCAAAAGATAAAACTAGGATTTAGGAATGAGGCAGACACATTATTACAATAAGATTACTAGAAGAAATAGATGTGTTGCTTTAAATACAAAGCAGTAATTTAAATCAAGCTAATCTTTTTATCCAGAAATATCTTTTTTTGAAAGCCTAGTGCATGTGATTAGCCCCTCATCTGGGAAACTAAAAGCTTATTTAAAAAACAACAGCTGTTCTTTATCCTTCTTGGATATTCCCACATCAGTCTTCAGACTGTTATTATCCAGCTTTTCAGCTTAGGGAGAACACAGTATAGCGGGAAGAATGTGGGCTAAGGAGTTGGGCTTACCTGGACTCAGTGCCTGGCTCACCTCCTTGTTAACTTTCTGACTGAAGAATAAATATAATATGGTCAGCATTTTGCTGTAAATCATTCATTATGGTATCTTTTTAAAATATTCGCACTGACAAAAAGGATTCACAGTGGAAGGTGAGAGTGTGTCAATCAGTAAAGGATGGTTCAGGACCCACCTTTCTTACCAGTGTTAATTTTTTGTCCTGATCAGGTACAACATTGAGCGGATGCCAGATGATTATGGAGCCCCTCGGTTCTAATTCTTAAAAGACACAGTTCCTCTGCCCTCCTTCAACCAACCTCCTCTGTTGCCAGTTCATTAAACATGCTATAGCATGAATTATTATTCCATTCACCCACTTGCTCTGTTATGAGCTGAGTATGGTTAAATACACTCACTTTTTGATGTTGTTTTGGAAATATTTTGTATCATTTTAAAATTTGTTGCATCTTTTTATAAATCAGATGACTACTCACGCAATTTGATGGTCGTTGTTTTATACTGATTTACTCAACAAATATTTACTAAGGCTATGCTAGATACTTAATCAGATGTGGTCCTGCCCTCAAGACTCTCATGTTATGGTGAGAAAGAGAAACATGTCGATGAATAAATACAGTAAAATAATGATGCTAGGATAAAAGTATGAGGGAATAGACACATATAGGAGGAAAGAATGGTTTCTTTCTCCTTGGTTGGGATGGGGAGGGAGGAAAGGCTAAAGGTACTAATGTTTGAGTTTATCTTTAAAAATGAATAGGTGTTTGCCCAGTAAATGAGGAAAGAAAATAAGACATAGGAAGCATATGAACAAAAACATGGAGACACAGATGTTCCATGAAACGAATGTGCTTGACCTGTTCAGACAACTGCCAAAAGGTTTTTATAACTAGAACAGAGGGGTAGGGATCTGTACCCACATATGAAATTCCAGAAGTAGGGAGTGGAAAGAAGGGGACCTTACATGATATGCTAAAGGGTTTGGACTTGGTCCTAAGGTCAATAGGGAGTTATTAAAATTTTAATTAGGGTAGATAACATCGGATTAGATATTTTAAATGATCACAAGGTAGTGTAAGAATAGACAAATAGATCATTGAAACAGAATAAAAAGTCCATAAATAGACCAAATATTTATGGCAATTTAGTATATTATAAAGGTGGTATTTGAGATCTGTGGGAAAAGGAAATTGTATTAGAAGGCCAAATAGCGCGGAGTCATTCTGCTAGAGTTAGAAGCCTGAGTCTACCAGTTAATATCTGTATAAATTGGGCAAACCACATAACCATTTGGTGCCTTCCTTGCTTCCTCTTTAAAATGTTTTGTTTAATCTTCAAAACAACCCCAAAGAGATAGGATTAAATTGAACAGAACCTGACACAAGCAAGTGTTGTTCAATAAATATTAATGATTATTATATTATAATGGTAAGTTGTCTATCCATTTGAAAAAAAATTTTAGATTTCTACCTCATACCCTTAGATCAAAGATCTAAACTTTTTCTTTTTCTTAAGCTGTGGAAGTATCAGGGAAAAAACCACGAAGAATGTATATAACGTTTGGATAGAATTCTTAAATAAGATGAAGAATGTAAAAGCCACAAAAGAGAAGACTGATAAGTGTGAATATATTGAAATGGTAGATTTCTGTGCAAAGCAGCCCCCGCAAAAATTAAGACAAGTAGCCAACCAGAAGATTTTCCAATATCTACGACAAGGGCTTGAGGAAATGGGTAGTCATGTGATGCTGACAAGAGTGCAAATAGGTGTAATCATTTGAGACAGCAGTGTCATAGGATCCATTAAAATAAAAATTGCAGATATCTTGTGAGCCCAATTCTATTTTTTAGTTATTTATAGGTATCAAACAGATGATTTCCTTTAAAATACATCATCAGTGTGATATAAATACATGGCTAGTGTGATATAAATGTATAAAGAAACATTCACACGTGTACAAGAAAGCTTATAGAAGGATATTTACAGCACCACTGTTGGTAATAGAGAAAAATCGAAAAGAATGTAAATGTCCATCAAAAGGGTCTTAACTATGTTATATCAGTACTATTAGCATTTTTAAAAAATGAAGTAGATCTAAAGATGGGCAAAGGACTTGAATAGATAATTTTCTAAAGAAGATATACAAATGGACAGCAAGCACATGAAAAGATGTTCAACATCACTCATCATTAGGGAAATGCAAATAAAAACCACAGTAAGATACCACCTTACATCTGTTAGGATGGCCACTATTAAGAATAAGTCATTGAGGCCTGCGCAGGTCCCAACCTATCTGTGGTTTGGGGTTGCTATCTGCCTCATAAAGCAAAGTGGAGGGTTTCTCTTCTGGGAGGACAAAGTCGTCTTCTCCTCTGAAAAATCCTCCTACATAGTTAGCTTTGGCATCTTCCAGGAATAGGAGGGCGGAGACTGAGGCCTCGTAAGTCTGGGTTTTCAGTTCAGTAGAGAGGGTAGTGGTTGTAACCAGGAAGTCCAGAGTGGGGTGTGGTTCCCTCCAGATTCGTCACTGTTAACACAGCTTGGGCCCCATGGTAGTCATAGAAGTGGATTCCTTAATTAAAAGAAAATAGTAATACAAAAAAAAAAAGAATAAATAACGAGTGTTTTCGAGGATGTGGAGAAATTGGAACTATTGTGCACTGTTGGTGGAAATGTAAAATGGTATAGCTGCAATGGAGAACAGTATGGTGATTCCTCAAAAAATTAAAAATAGAATTACCATATGATCCAGCATTCCACTTCTGGGTACATATACAAAAGAACTGAAAGCAAGATCTTGAAGAGAGATTTGCACACCCAAGAAGTAGAAGCAATCCATGTGTCCATCAATGGATGAATAAGGAAAATGTGGTATATGCACATAATGGAATATTATGCAGCCTTACAAAGGAAGGAAATTCTAACATGCTACAACATGAATAAACCTTGAGAACAATAAGCTAAGTGAAATAAGCTGGTCGCCAAAAGACAAATAAATACTGTGATTCCACTTATATAAGGTACCTAGAGTAGTCAAATTCATAGAGACAATGTAGGAGGGAGGTTGCCAGGGGCTGGAGGGAGTGGGGAACAGGGAGTTTAATTGGCATAGAGTTTCAGTTTTGCAAGGTAAAAAGACTTGTGGAGATTGGTTGCACAACAATGTGAATGTACTTAACACTACTGAACTATACACTTAAAAATGGTTAAGATGGTAAATTTTATTTTATGTGTATTTTACCACAATTAATAATAAAAGCAAGAGGTAGAGCTGTATTACTTACATGGAAATAACTCTGACCTATTATTAAGAGAAAAGTAGCTTGTAGAACAATTAAGTATGGTGTGACATGTGTTTTACAATTTTTTTAAACCACAAAAATACATAATTGCTTATTAGGAATATACATATATAAATTGGATTCCCTTCTCTGTTAACAGAATTCCTCATAGAGAAAACCATTGTCACAGGACTAGACTGTGGCTCACTCCTCCCACAGCCTGTAGCATGGATAGGATCATCTTCCTGATTGAACCAATCAGCATATCCATATTCCCTTTATCATTGTGATTATTTCAAACCTAGGTGATCAAAGTCAAGCCAAATAGTCTTAACCAGAGCTTTTACTGGAGGGTTGCTCTCTCTTTCTCTGAGGGAACTTTTAGGACATGTAAACTTTGAAATTGAGTGACCATATTTGTTAATACATTGGAAAAGCCTACTGGGTTTTACTTTAATTGTATAGCTAAACCTAATTCTAAATAATGTAGGATGTATGTCTCCTAAACCAATAGAAGAAATACAAAAGGGAAACTCAATTAAAGAAAAAAAAAAGAATTTGTTAAAAACCCATTGAACTGCACCACTGGGCACCTGTATATTTCACAATATGTAAATTTAAAAAGAAGAAGAAATAATGGTAAATAGAAACATGAAGTAAGATGGTAGGGGAAAGTCCAAATACAGAGTGCTCATGATGAATGTGACTAGGTTAAGTTCCCTTATTAAAAGACAAATGCTCAGACTGGATATATTTTAAATCTTGTGGCTGTATAGTATTTACAAGACATGCCTAAAACAGAATGACACAAAACAGTCGGAAATAATGGGAAAATACACTTAGCGCACACCCCGACAATCACACTCCTAGGGATTCTACCCAAGAGAAATGAAAACACGTATTCACACAAAGACTTGTACACCAATGTTCATATTCTTTATTCATAATAGGTAAGAACTGGAATCAACCCAAGTATCAAATGGATAAACAAATTGTGCATTCATATGATGGAATACTATTTAGCAATAAAAGGAATGAACTGCTACAACAACTAGATAAAACCATTAAGTTGAGCAAAAGAAGCCAGACACAGGAATATATGGCCCAGTGGCTCAGCGGTTAAGTGCGTATGCACATTCTGCTTCCGTGGCCCTGGGTTCGTAGGTTCGGATCCTGTGTGCAGACATGGCACCACTTGGAAAGCCATGCTGTGGTAGGTGTCCCGCATATAAAGTAGAAGAAGATGGGCATGGATGTTAGCTCAGGGCCAGTCTTCCTCAGGAAAAAAAAAAAAGTAAATTGATTGCCTGAGGTGGGCATGAGGAATTGGCTGTGTACAGGTACAAGGGAATTTTGGGGGGTGATGGAAATGTTCTGTATCTTGATTGTTGTGATGGTTACTCAGATATATTGGTTTGTCACAATGCATTGAAATGTACACAAAATGGGTGCATTTTATTGTATGTAAATTATGCCTCAATAAATTAAAAGATGGCAGAAGGCTTGCAAAGAGAATATGCTGTTTGAATATGCAATATAGAAAATATTGAGGGTTTTTTTGTGCCCTACCATATGGTCTATTTCATGGAAGTTCTGTATACTCTTAAAAAGGAGGTACATTCTCTATTATCAGGGTAAGAGGTTTGATTGTTCTCCATAAGATCTACCTGATTGTTTAGGTGGTCTATATACTTTTTATTTTTGACTCTGGTCTGCCTCAAAGTAAGAGATAAACATTAGAGTTTCCTAATAC